ATATGTAAATGTAACTGTAAATGTATTTATAATCATTTACATATACATGTATATATATATATACATATATATATATGCAATATATATATATATATATATATGTGTGTGTGTGTATATGTGGTTGTGAGTTTGTCTATATACATATATGTGAGTATGTATGTATGTATGTATGTGTTTATGTAATTTTGCATGTGTGTATGTATATATGTTGTTTATTTCTATGCGTAATTGTACATTCGATTGTACGGTAAACCAACACACGGTCAATAAATTTACAGGATGTTGGGGTCGGGATCTGAGTGTCTGTTGTCTCGGTTTCCTCCTGAATTTGGAGATATGCCTGTGAGGACTGTGCCCCCGGAAATACTCTTGAAACTTTTTAAGGTGAGTTATGCTATAACTTGTCAAACCACTTATAGAGTCAATGTTTATGATATGAGATCATAAATATTGCTATCATTGCCTGGCTATCATCAATTTTAGGTTCATTCGTGATGATGGCAAGCACGTCTTGTTGGACACCCGAAGTTATCGTTTACATAATAAATTTCTGCCACCGTTGTTATGTAGGAGTTCGCTCGCTGGCCAGATCGGCCCCCTATGCACCACGAAGCCATGACATTTACGCGGAAAGGGATGAAGGTTAAAGCTTGATCATCATGAGAATCTGGAAATCAATTGTGCTGGACCTATGCACAATTTGTTACTTACCTGGAGCCCTACTGGAACTGTGTTATACTACGCTGTTCTGCGGATTACCCTCTCCATCGTCTCGACTCCATCTGTTTTGATTCAAATATTATGCTATGTTTAGGAGCCCATTTGTGGGTAATTAGTGGTATCTTAGTTTATAGCAGCTGCACGAGTCAAACTTTTCATTGACTACTGCACGTGGCTGAAAAATCGAGAGTAGTTACTAAGGTGACTTTCATCCAATCAGCTGTCTACAATGATAACTACATGGCACTTTCCTGCGTTCGTACGAGGTTATGGCACCTACTAGGAGGTTTAAGTTGCGGCGGCGTCGCAACATCGTGGTTTATCTTTTGTATTCATGCAATGCTTTAGACGTAGCTATGCAGCTAAAAGGTTCAAGCTTTGGTATGCTGCTTCGAAGTCCATGCACATAAAACAGAACTTTAGATCTTACAACTTCAGGAACAAGACCGCTGGCAAGAATTTAAGTTTAATTCTAGATCTCGGTACGTCTATCCATCCACTTGATTGGCATCTTTAATACTGCGACTATAGGAGACCATAGGACTTGATATCTCAAAGTGGTGGCTTTTGAACTAACTAAAACAATATCAGGTCACAGATTTAGACCGCATTCGAGCTGGCAATTGGCATGCTACAATTTAAAAACGCTCTTTCCAGAACCATCCGCATAAAATAAATATGGATCTGAGATTCTGCATTTCATAACTTCAGGCTCAAGACCGCAGGCTGCGTTTAGTTTTTTAAATATGTTGTGTTGTTTAAGAAAAAGAGAACATTGATAAGGATGTACATACCCTATTACCCTGTTTCATAAACCGACCCTTTTAGTCTGAACTGCATTATTCATACTTTTTGAATATCCATGATGCAAATCTGAAATCCACAAGAACAAGAACAAAATTGCAATGACTCCACCACTTGATGGTAAAAAAATACTTGTTGGCTCCTTCCGCTTCGACAACAAGAAGGATGTATTTATTTATCAAAATAGATAAATTGATTCCATCAAGTTTTACTACGAACTATATTTTTTCAACTAAAAAAAGTATTTACCTGTCGACGACTCGACGGCTCTCAAGAAGAGTCTCAAGTCTCAACACTCACAACACTGCAACAGTCACAAACTCACGAGTCACGAGTCACAACTCAACTCACAACTCACAGTCTCACACACTACAAGAAGTTCAGTAGTTCACAGCACACCACAAGATTACAAGAAGTGTTTACTGCTTTGTCGGTTTGGCCTATATTTTTAAATAAAGACTCAAAGAGCAGACTCATAAACTATAAGGCGAGAGCTTGTGCCCTGTAGAAGTAGAAACTAAAAGAACTCTAGAAAGAAACAACATATGTACATACTAAAACACTGGAGTAAACAAAATTGTGTTGGACAGAAAAAAAAAGCCGATTGTAAACAGGCCCTCCGCGAATGAAATTCCAGTTTGACGATTCGATTGGTCACAATTAACAATTGGTCAAATCGCAAACTCTAAAGCTGAAGCCTGAAGGCGAGCGGAAGGCCGGGCCCGGAAGCTCTCGTGGGTCATGAGTCTCGTGAGTCGTGACTCATGAGTCATGACTCCGTGAGTCGCGAGTCTCTTTTTTAAAAAACAAAATAAAAGCAACCAGATCTATGAAAAAAAAATCCAAATCACTACCAAATAAGGAGACAGCACAAGGTGAAATTGGATCTATTTATCCGACCATTGTTTAATTGATAACCAATGGCAGCACCAAACTATAAAATGACTATGGTTGGTTAAATATACTACAAATCAAAAGTAATAAATAGAGAATATTAAGCAAAAGAAAAAGATATCGTGTCTTGAAAAATTAAATGGCAAAAATTGTTTCATAATTAAACGCAGCCCACAGGCTGTTACAACTTCAAAACGTGAATTGTAATCACACCAACAAAGCAATTATTCAATTCATCTGCGCACTTTGTAATATCGAACTGATCACAATAAGTATATTAAACAGGCTATAATACCAGCTCACAATATTTGAAGCGTACAGCATTGTTGCCAACACAATCCACAATAAGGAATATATTTATCATGCACCCCGAGGGAAAGATGGAAATTTCGGCAATGAACACGAATAATTTGTCAACGGCCCAAGATAGGCAAATGATACCTCCACAGCAAAGTAATGCTATCGATATATTGGAGCAGTTCATGAAGTATCAGCTTCATATGCAAAACAGTATTGACTCTAGAACCGCTTCAACCCTTGAATCGCTCGACAATATTAATGGTCGGATCATGTACAATAATCATCTATTCCAAGGACATCATATGCAGAGTAATCAGTTCCCCAGCCTAAATCATCAGCTGAACTTGAATCCATCAAGTGTCTGGAATGGCAATATAGATCGTGCTGCATCAGCACCGATGCTTTCTCTCACCGAAATAGACAACCTGAGATTTCGATCGAATTCAACAAACCCATCACCACCCAAGACTCAGAGGTGTATAGGAAAGACGCCTAGTGTTGGAAACCTAAGCGTTAACGATCTTCGGTCTAACAGCATAACAGATAGGACTAGGAAGGCGGGAAAGTCAACTCGACACAGACGTAAGTCTAGCGAGTTATTACGCAGATTTCAGTGTCCCCACAAAGATTGCAAACACAGATACGAGGCACGCAGATCGGTTGTACAGCACATAAAGGCAAAGCACAATAGTATAGGTATTGAGTGGTCGCCCATTGTGCTCGAAGTCGGTGAAGCCTTGGGCCAAAATAATGGATATATGCGGTCTTCTTCCGATGTTGGTGGTATATTTGTTTGGGAAAATCATTCAGCCGATGATTTTCGATCGGCAGGTAGCTCTCCAGCGATCAGACCACACCCCGCTTCACAACACTCATCCACGTTACGAAACTCGAATCACAGTTCAAGAGCAAAGTCTCACTCCATGGGCTCGCACGACGCTCCCAGACGATATATGCGAAACGATCCTATTGGGAATTTTGACAATACCAATTTACCAGCGTCCTTTCTAGCACCATCTAGGGTGCAGAAAATAGAACAGAACACTATCTCATCTCCAGATCCAATTTTTGAAATGTCAATGGATGCCCATGACAGTTTCTTAAGCATCCTGATGAAGTAAAGTCGGCAGTAGAAACCGATAGAATCTAACGGTGGCAAAAGAATAAATGTTTGCACGGTGTGAAATTCACAATACTCCTGCGATTTTGTGTATGGATACTATGCATTCTTCATTAAAATTGAACTATTTTTTAGTTATCTTTCTATTTTGGCCTGCTAGGAACAATGAATAAAGCGAGCTTAGCATGTTTCCTATACCACAGCAGTACTGTTGTGGGGTTACCTAGTGCTTAGTTCGAAATGTCGACGACAAAATACATCCTATTATCTAGGATGATCAGGCAAGTTGCACACAATACAATCGACATCGCTATAGGTACTATACACTATATCTGTAGTTCCTCTATTAGCATTTTTGCATTGCGTGCATGCAGAAGGGCTCTCTTTTTGTTAAAAAAAATAGGACTGGCTGGAAAGTGGAAATGATATTTATTTATGTGCAACTTTGGAACTTTTCAGAATTCCTTGATGACTCATAAATTTGCTTTGTGAAATACTCAAATATTTCCAATATTTCAGCAGCATATATAAAAATTAGTCTTCAAAGTGAAAGAACACGTATCTGTTATTTTGTTTTTTAAACAAAGCAAAAAGTAAAATAAATATAAATATTTTCTTACTCTTTATGCATACGCAATTCACAGACAAAAATGGACCAAACAAACGGACAGGCATCAATCTTGAAATAGACGAATATTTTGTGTCAATTTGTACCCGGCGATTTTCAATTCACCAGTGGACCACAGATCTTTTTCGAATTGGACACATGGACAACCTCAAAAACAGGTCATCAAACCATGACCAGCCTATTTTTTCCGGACAGTATAGTCCATTTTTCCGTTTTACAACCCTGGTTGGGCCCCGTTGGGGCCGTCGGGCCCTAGAGGGCCGAGGCCCCACCCCAGGCCCTGGGTCATAGAATATTCATCGCAAATTCGCCAGTTCACAACTTGTACTATATAATTGTTTATTTAACACAAAATGAAAATGAAAAACAAAGTTTCGCAGTCGACACCGACATGCTCTCTTCTTGTGTATGTCACCGTTTCACCCCCTTTGTTCTATATGTGTGATGAAATGTTTTTACTAAAAAATATTGTTTTTAAAAAGGAAACATCATACATTCACTCATATAGTACTTGAATACAATGAATAGAGTCAATAGATCTTTGAAAGATAAGAACTGGTTCAATATTTTTTAGCGACTTGTTCGATTTAAAAAAAAAAGTCAATGCTAAAATAAAAAAACTGAAAATTTGTATGTACTCACTTTCCCCTCTATTTACTCTAAATAAAGTAGTTGTAGCTAGCGAGAGAGGCGAAACAAACGGTATTATGAATTCATTGGCTAAATTGACATCCGTAGATGACTATACCTATTTTTACATTTCTTTTCTCTCTCATCTGAACTCTGATCCAGCACTGCAGCTGTGCAGCAGTGATTGTCTGGGGTTGTCGACTGGTCTATAAAGTGAGTGTTTTGTATAAAATAAAATAAAGTTGATATCGTCATTTTGTCTCTACTCTTTTTAAAAGGCTACATAAATGTGGCCATATGCTTTTGCTTTTAATATTTGTCTGGTGTGATTGTTTCAAATGTTATTCCCTTTTAGTTATTTTTTCAGTATGTAATCAAAAACATTCTGAAATGAATCATAGACCCCAGTCCTGCTCTACTCTAGAGAAAGAGTGCCTCAGCCCCAGGCTCCCGGCTCCCGCACTGGCGCTGGGCAAGCAGGAACAGGGCTCACTCCTGCGGAGTCCCGAGTTCCCGACCCTGAAAGTTCCAAGTTCCGGAATCCAGAAAACTGTCACAAGTCACAGAGGTCGTAAACAGGAACACAGACTCTCACACTTTAAAAAAATAAAAATACAGTCAGTCACAGGGCCCCAGCC